ACTCATAGTTTGATTGTGTTATATTTTTTTTATCCCGGTAGTATAAATGAAACCATTCAAAATCATATGTTTAGAGATATTTTGTTTTCTCAAACCATACTAATTTGAAACCTACATAACTTTTTATATTCCTTAATTAATAACACTTATAATATTTATAACTTTCCAATAATTTTTTGCATTCTCTTATTATATATGTAGTTATATGAGTACATTTTTCTTACAAAAAGTCATCATTTGGTTGAAGATATTGTGATTCAAAAGTTTTCATGTAGTTGAAGCATTCACCAAATGCAACAGATTCTATACCCGACTTATAGCAAAAAGGCCTTCCATTGCTATAATGAATAGGAACTTTATTACAAAAAGTTTGGAACTTTAGTACAAAAAGTTTCTCATATATTCAAAAGTCCATAACAACAAATATGGGGTATGTGGCACAAAAGTCCATAACAACAAATGCAACAGTTCCTAGCTCGTATATTCAAAAGTCCATAATACATGTAAAGTTCTAAACTTGACGTCCATGCATGGGGTATTTGGCACAAAATGCCCTAAAATTAAGTCATCAAGATGCATGGGGTGCTTATGGAAATAAATTTGGCACCTTTACGCCATAAGAACCCTCAATGGTTCCAGATCTAAATCCATACCTTCTTAGAACCACAAATTCCCGAGTATGACTCTAAAAAGGCTTAGAAAATGTGGAAATGAGCCCTAACTAGAGATCTAAGAGATAGATGGTCAAGGTTGAAGCATTTTACCTCAAATGAGCTGGAAATGGGACACAACCTCTGGATCTACTAGCTTCCACTTAAACTCCCAAACTCATTCTTCCTTCTCAAGCTTCACAACTACCACAAACACACAAAAATGGCTCAAGAACACTTAATCAAGGTTAGGGTTTCAATATAGTACTTTTCTAGACTGGGAGGAACGATGGGGGTTGGGTTAGGACAAGATAAGGTGCTTAAATAGGGTGCAAACCCTAAATATTGGGTTTTCATCCAAACAGTCCTACTCGCTAAGTCGGGCTCTCCGACTGGTCGAGTAGGTTACTTAAAACCCGCGTCCAAGTGTCTAGTCTACTCGATGAGTTGGGCCTCCAACTCGCCGAGTCCCAGTGTAAAACATACAATTAATTAAATTTAAATATGTGGGGAATCGGGTGTTACAAACATTTATTTATTGTACAAATCGAGCTTCTAAAACATAATAATATATCATTAATCAGTCAATTCGTTGACATTGCGACAAAATTCTAAATATAATGACATAATTGAGAAAAATAAATTTGGTGTTAAAATCGAATTGTATGGTAATATAATTACTTTCCTACAAACTAAAACTCAGTGTCAAAATCGACATTTTAATAAACTTAATGACTTATTGAAATTCGGGAAAATGGTTACTGGGAGAACACGGAGAACCAATTATTTGGTTGATATTATAACAAAATTATAAATATAGTTACATAATTGCGAAAAAAATAACTCAGTGTCAAAATCAAAATTTTGTGGTAATATAGTGGTCGGATCCTAACCTTAACCCTAACCTTAGTTTCGTTGGTATTATACCTCAGCATCATCAAAGTTAACAGAAGTGGCCGAATCTTGAAATCCTAACCCTAGATTCATCACCATTGAATTCCTTATGTTCTATTCATCTTGAAACTGTCGTCTCCTCGTGGTCTCATACCTTATGGATTTGCAACACCCACCTAGATCGTCACCGCTGTATGTTGTCGTTAGAATCGTCATCGCTATACGTCATCTCCTGAATCGATGTATCGTCACCACCTCTTCAAACTTGTGTTTGTTGGAGTCCGATGGTGGTGTTATTAGTTTTTCGGTTCTCAGTTTAGATATTTTTACCTGAGAGCAACCACAACCATCACTGGTCAACAACACAACCACCATTACCACCGTAAGTCGTTGTCGATTACAGCAGCGAAGCTACTCTTTTCTAACCTCTTTCAAATCTAAAAAGCCACCCCTGGAAGGAAGGAGACAAATACAAACATAGATAAAAAAAATTAAAACGCTGCCCTAACCACTTGTCGGAAAATCGATTCAACTAACCACCTATTGGATGCATCAAACCGTCGTTGCTCCTAACCTTAACCTTAACCCTAACTTCGTCGATCTTGTACCCCAACATCATTAAAGTTGACAGAGGCGGTCTGATCTTGAAACCTAACCCTAACTTCGTCACCATCCTTATGTTCTGTTCATCTTGAAACTATTGTTGCCTTGTAGCCTCCGTTGTTGCGGATCTGCAACACCCACCCACATTGCAACTGTTGTACGTCGTCGTCCTATACATCGTCATCAAAATCGTCACCATTATACATTTCCACCCGAATCAATGTGTTGATGTCTCCTCTTCAAACATGTGTTTGTTGTACTCTGGTGGTGGTGTTGATCCGTTTGTTGGTTCCTAGTTTAGATATGTTTGCATGAGAAGGTGACATGAAGACGATGTTGTTCGCATGAACTCCGGTGAAGGGTTTGTTGAGGAAGATGTTGGCGACGACCTAAGGTTTGCTGAGGAAGATGTCCGCCTCTCTAAACTCGTTTCCAGGTGGTGGTGGCGTTCCGATTCTTTCTTTTGATATGTTTATATGGCAGAAGAGATGGTCGAAGTTGTTTCCGGCAAAAATGATATGGTCGCCGACGGCGTTTCCAACGTGATGGGTGTGATGGTCAGTGATGTTTTTCAGCTATAGTAGAGGGAGACAATTGGAGAGTTGTGTGTTAAAAGAGAAATATAAGGGGGTAAGAGTCGTATTTTATTTTTATTTTCTTTTTAACTGTTGTAATGAAAGGAAAATAAAAAAAAAATTAAAAAGAGTAAATATGTTATTTTAAAAAATTTCAAGTATTTTTGAATCAAAATCATAATAAAATTCTTATTTTGGACCGGTGGTACTAGTCACTCTCAGTTAAAATAACAATTTTCGGTTAATCACAAATATCTTTTCTATAGTTGGAATTTTTTAATATGGTAAAAATGTTAAAAACTAAAAGATATAACTTTATCATACTATTTAATTGTTATTTATTTATTTAAATTATTAATATTAGCTAATATTATTTTTAAACATATGACGTAGATTGGAAATTTGGAAAATCATATAACAATGATAGCTTATATAAAATATATAAATAATAAAGATAAATTAGTTAATTTTTGAAAAGTATTTTTTTTTTTTAACAAAGCTAACTATTGAAATGACTTTATAACGTACTTTTTGTACGACAAAACAAAAACATTTCAAAAGCTCACTATTCTTGAAGATGTACCATTAGGAAAAGTTAAAAACTTGTGTGTGTGTGTTTAAACAGAGATTCAATCGGCTTATATAGATTAATTGAGTAAATTACATCTCTAGTCTCTACTATATGTCAAAAAGATTATAAATTTTGTTCAAATATTTCATTTGTTGTAAAAGTAGTCCCTAAAATTTACTCTTGCTGTATGTTAACTTCATTATAAATGATCATCTCGCCCATGTCTTCTCCATTTTCTTAATCTCCTTCAACTTATTTTGAACAAGCTAGCCCAGAGACTTCAAACGTATAAACATATCATAAAACCAAAATTAGAATTAAACTAAAGCAAAAGCTAAATCAGAAATCTTTTTCCGAAAACAAGTATTTTTATTAAAAAACAATGGTCGTTGAGGAGTTGGATATGGAGCTAATTATAAGCAGCTAGCATTGTGAATCTATCAATAAACGTCAAACCTTTTCAACTCAAATTTCTATTTCAAGCTCTCCAACTTAAATGATTACTACTTCAGAAACATTGAGTATACCTATATTCCTTCCATTCTCATCACTTACCTGCCAACTTTATTAAAAAAAAAAATGGAGATTGCAAAGTGTCATCATAAAAAAAATCATAACATAGTGAATTTTGATTGACCTTCATTTTGCTCAATATGTTTTAATCTTGATTATGGTTTGCTTTATTAAATGATGTTTTAAATTAGGATTTGTTGACACAATGAGATAAATAAAATAGAGAAGACAATGACAAAATGATCATTTCTCATGCATGTCTTTAAATTTTACTGCCTAATGCTTGACTTGGTTTATACAAATTCATATAAATGATGAATAAAATTGAGAAAGGGTACGTATACCGATGTGCGTGATATACATACTAAAAGGATCAATTTTGGATTATTTTCTTTTCCCCTTGTTTTGGCATATATATAGAAGAGAGAGATCGTACATATGTGATAAGTGGAACGGGACATACGACGTCGCAAGCTCTTAACAGAAAAGGTTACGCATGCATCGATCATGTATCATGTATGTCATGTACCATCTGTATGTATAAACATTTTTGTTTGTCGGCCTTAACTCCCGGTTCTTCCCTTTTATTGGCTAGCTAGGAACAAGATATATATATATATATAGTTACCTTTTTTTTTTTTATAACAGAAAAGATAAAGGAAACAAAAAAAAAAAGGTTGTAAGAATAACTTGGAAATGATAATTTTTATCCGATACGTAACAGTCAATTTAAGGGAAATTAATGATAAATTAGATATAGAAAAATGAATTTAATTTTTGAGATACATCTTTTATCTTAATATGGATGTTCATAATTAAAAGCTAGAATGTAAAACTCGGTAAGAATCAAGCGTTTCCATTAAAAGGATATACTTATATTGTCAAAAGAAGAAATGAAACAATATTAGATCATTAATTGTTCAAGTGGAGAAGGATGTATCGACGTTTTACGTAATTATATGAGCAATTGAAATAACTACCTAGCAACTCCATGGATCATTAAAGAAGTTTAGTGAGTGCAAACAAATATGTCTGAACTTAAAAAGAACTAATTAAACATATATCAACTCATTGTTGTAGCCAACTACATTTGATTCCATGAACAACTACACTAGTTTAGCTAGCCGCATATATGTAAGACAGAGTTGAAGAAGATTAGAATGTGTTAATAATAAAGTGATGCTACGCGTACGTTTACAACCGGAGAGTAAGGTCCAGGACGTCGGTGGTGTTGTCTGTGGGTGGAGGAGTGACATGATGGAAGACCAGAGAGGTGGTGGCGTCGGCTTGAAGTGGGTGGTCGAACCAGCTGGTATAGGCCGCGGTGGAGGTGGAAACTGTGTTTGGAAGGTGGTTATCGGCGGTGCCCAAGCAAGAACGGCTGGCAGCGGCTCTCTCACGCTTGTGGGCGTTCTGGTGTCCTCCCAATGCCTGAGAAGTATAGAACTGGCGAGGGCAGTAGAGGCAACGGAAGAGTCTGGAAGATTGATTCGGTTGCTTAGCATCAGGCTGAGCCGCCGGAGAATGCAGCTTTAAGAAGTCATACAGCCCTTGCTCCGCCATTGATTAATCTTCAAACACACACAGAGAAAGTAAGAGCGTGTGAGAGAAAGAAAGAGAGAGAGAGAAAGAGAATGCGGTTTGGAAGGATCGAGCGATTTACATGTAAATATATACATGGTGAATATATGGTGTTGAAGCTCTTTAAATTTGTCTTTATCTACACAAGGTTTTCTGAACGCTGATTGGTTCTGTTAACAAAGTGACAGCATTACACCCCTTTCCACTACCCTTGATCACTTCTTCGGAACATCACTGCGTAATTACATTAATACATTTTACCTTCCTTTAAATTTATTGTGTTATCTTAAAAAAAAAGTATTTATGAAACATCAAATCATATTTATTATACATGGTCATTCTTGCCAAACATAAATTATTCGTTATTGAACATAATTTGATCATCAAGTTAATGTCACTATATTTTACGAACCACAATGGCTGGTTGTAACTTGTAAGAGAAGGACAAGCGTCTAAGAATAATATTTGTTCTTTGAAGATTTAATATCTAATTAATTAGTTACTAGAGTGTAATCAAAACTCGAATATGTTTAGTTTAATGGAAAACAACGAATTTATAATAATTTTAGTTAGGGAATTGTAGAGAAAAATGTTGGTGATTTATTATCATCAATGTTATTTAAGTGTAATAGGGATTATTTTGTTGACTAAAAATGATCTTGATAAATATTAATCAAGTAAGGAAGATGTGGAGTACATACTTGTTTAAGTTTGATCAAGTATTAAAGTATACTGTCATTTAGAGACGAAGCCCCTAAACGAACGGGGGTCCGGGGGCAACACCCCTGGGAACGAAGTCCAAGGGGTGGCAGCCCCTGGTTTAGGTCGAGCTGTATTAAAAATGCATAAGAAAATCCAAATTTTGAATATTTGACCTGGTTTTGACTTTGAATTAATCTTTATACAAAACCCGGATTTATGACAATTTTTACTGTTGAGAAAAACTGTTATATGACAGTTTTGATAGTTTTTCAGATAAGGAAAGTTTATAACCAATTTTAGTCACTTTTCTGGTACTCATGAAATTACACAATCTCACTTTCTCTTTCTTTTCTCTCTGATTTTATCTGAGTTTTATCTAATTGAGGATTTGGGAGTACCACCTAAATACTTTGATTTGAAAATGATTATCACGATTCTCAGATTTTCAAGTGCCACTAAACCATATTTCTAACAGAAAATATGATCACTTTGATAATCAATTAGGTACTTTTATATATTGGTGGATATATTGTAATGTTCACTGTCTTTAATTGATGATTCAGTTATATGCATTAACTATTTTGGTATAAGATAATTCATAAAAGGCACTTTGGTTTTTTAGACAAAAATTAAGAGGAAAGTACCATAGTTGTGTAAGGATTATTTAAACATCTTAAAAGTCAAAGGTGTATTATTTATAAGTATTTATACTCTTGTTGTCCAAATATTGGATAAAGATAATGAAAATTGCGGTTTTCATAAGTTATGAAACAGTAACACAAACTTTTACAAAAAAGTTTAGGCCTTAAGTTGACCGGTCATCCCAAGTCAACATTGTCCAAATTAACTAAACTCGGCCCTAACCAAACAAGTTAGGTCGACTTAACAAGCTAGCTTGAGCTCATCAACATCAGTCTTATGCCATCCGTTATCCATCCATCAATCCATTTATCACTATCTATCCATGTGTCCATCCATTCATCACTATTTATCTATCAATCAATCCATCCATCCATCCATCTTTTATGGATGGTCAAGAATACATAAAGTTTTATGTTCTATAAAAGGGTTGTTCTTTTAGCATCATTGCTATGTTATGGATTTCAAACTATATAAGGTAAAAAATAAGTTGTTAAGATCAATATCTTACCTATGATTGTTTTTTGCTCCATAAGATTGTGTAATTATAGGATCAAATTGCGATCGAAATCTTACCATTATGAGCTAGTTTGTTATATATATATATATATATATATATATATATATATATATATATATATATATATATATATATATATATATATAAGATTGTGTAATTATAGGATCAAATTGCAATCGAAATCTTACCATTATGAGCTAGTTTGTTATATATATATATATATATATATATATATATATATATATATATATATATATATATATATATATCTATACTATCTTATAAAGAGTATATAAATGTGGGCCCCATCAAAATTAAGACTAAGTCTTAAAAAACAAGGAGAGTGGATGTTGGCCATTGGATCTAATTTACATGATTTGGATCTAATTTGAATGGTCTAAGATGGTGATCCTTGAGAATAAGAATCAGCCAATCAAAATAATAGGATTACATGTTTAACATTTACAAAAAGCAAACTCTTCATTATATAAACTCTAGCACTAGCATTATACCCTCACACACACACACACTCTCTCTCTCTCTCTATCTCTATCTCTCTCTCTCTCTTTCTCTTTCTCTCTCTCTCTCAAACGTAGCCCCCTATTCTCTTTCTTTATTTCTCTGTTTTTTTGAACACTTTTTTTTGTTCAGCCTCATTATCTTTCTATACACCACCAGGTAGCACTTTCTTCACATTCATCTTTTCCTGTCAAAATAAAAAGTAGCATAATGTTATCCATTTTCATTGAACATCAATACCTTTCTATAAATTTATCGTTTGGTTATTGTACATGTTTTAAGCATTCAAAAGGTTCATTCTTCACTTTATTTAAAACTAAACCAGTAATACTTATTTTTGACTGGTAGGAATTTGATATCATAATGTTAACCATTTTCATTGAACATCATTACAGCAAACCTATCAAGTTTTCTTATGGGGCTGAATTTTGATGGTGACATATTAAAAAAATAGGTTTGCATGAATCTCTCATCTTGATCAAGATAACTACTTGGTGTTTGGTGTCATGGAAGGTGGCTTTGGTGTATTTGTGTCTCATGTTAAAAAGGATTCACTTTCATCTGTTGACAAACAAGAATAGTTCACAGTTAAAGCTTAATAACCATACATATAATGTACTTGTGATTTGAGATTTGTAGGTAACATTAGCTTCCTATTTCTTTCCCAATTTATTATTTATGATTTTAATTATTTTCAATCTTCAAATATATAAGAAAACAATGATTTTTTTTCAAGGGTCAGATCTAAAATGTGAGAAATTGAAATGAGTTTAATCCTTGGTACTATTATATTATTTCCTTTAACAATTCTGGTCCATAAACAAACTCACTTCAGTTTCTCAATTAATTTTGAAGACAAATATAGATTTTAATACAAAGTTTCAAGGTTCAAAACCACATATGTTCTTTAAAAAGCCTATAACCACCATTACACATCGCATCTGGAATACATATGGGCACAACCTTAATAATTAAAATCCAGTCGAGCCAAAATCCAGATCCATAAAATAAAATTAACTTTAAAATATTCAAAATTAAATTGTTGAGAGTTTTAAGTAATGAGGATTTCGTTTGTTTTCACCTTACAACCGAGACCAGAGCCAACAATTATTGCTTTCGTTTTCGCCTTACAACCAAGGCAAACACTATTGATCTTCGTTTTCCAGCATCAACCCACAAAAGAAAAGGAAATAAGAAGAAATAACAATTATTTGAAATGGGACAGCAAAGAAAATTCCGATAAGCCTTACATCTACTGCTTTCGTTTTCCTTCCATTTCGTTTTCGTTCCAACAAACCAACAACCACCACCTTATATCAACCCCTCTCGAACATCACTGATAACGATCACCTTCGCCTACTGCTGCCATCGAGAATCCGAGACCAGAACCACCTGCTGGGTTGCCATTTTTTTGAAGAACATCATCACCACCCCACTGCTGCAATCGAGCTCCTCCGTCTTCGACAACCCGACTTCATCAGTAAAACCCAAGAACCTCAAAGATCCTGCAGCTTCTTCTTCGTTTTTCACATCCAAACTGGAAACCAAACTTCACGACACCATCGAACCAAGAAAGATAGATTAAGAAAAAAAACAATATTTGATTTATTTCAAACTCTTGATTGAAAGGAAGAACAAGAAAAAAGATTTCTTGATTTCTTTTGTTTGTGTCGACTTGAACAAGGAGAAAGAACAAGAAAGAAAGAAATTATTTGTGTTCCTTTGGTTATCGTTGAAAGAAAAAAAACAAGAAGGATATTTGTTCTCTTTTGTCGGCTGGACAAACAAAAGATTAGGGTAACAACAAGGATTTGGGCTTAACCTAATCAATTTGGGCTAACTTCAAAAGTTTATTTGGAACCCGATCATAATCAACACAGCAGTTTATAAATTATTTAATTTTATGTGTTTAAAGTTTAATTCCATGTTACTATTATTTGAAATTATAAATGTATTATGTTTTGGTTATATAAGGTAAAATAAATGTAATAAAAGAAAAGTAAAAAGATAATGGTATGTTTAAATAAAATCTAGGTTGTGAAATCTTAATTGGAAATGAAGAAAAAATATGGTGTGTATATTTTTGCTTGAAAATATGAAAAGTACTCGAGTCTACAATTTATTTGTAACCATCTTTTCCCTTCATTTAGCGTTTATTCTTTATTATTGTTATTAATTTATATTATAAGAAAATAATGAATAAAAAAGTTGAATGTACACAAAAAAGAAAGAATAAATTTGTTAAAAATAATGGATATATTGTGTTTTAAGTTGAAGTCTTTAACTCATATTAAATGGAATTGTGAAATGTGAGTTTGTACTATAAAAGCAATATAGATTAATGAGATGTTATTTTTGAATTAAAGAACAATCTATATCTAGGTTTTATTAAAATTGTTCATAAACAATTTAATTTTATCTTTAACCAAAACAACAAAATATATTTATTTTTAACACAAAAAAGCAACATTATATGTAACCAAAATCATCAATATTCTTATCTATTTAACCTAAAAACAATATATTATATGGTTTATAAATAAAAATAATATACGAAACATATGTATTCACCGATTTAGTACAATATGCCGAAACAAACAAA